TGGCAAGAAAGCACGAGGTTCTCTCTCTCTCTCCCTCTCTCTCTGTGTATACGTGTATGAATCATGTATCTATGTTTCTTGTTGAGTTATTGGTGTGTTGATTGTATATTTTGAGTGATTTAATTGTTTAATTTTTATGCTAGATCTTCTCTACAAGGACTACCAGAGCGACCACAAGTTCACTGTCACAACCTATTCTCCAACTGGAGTTGTGAGTTTTTTGCTCATTTTCCTTTCTCAGATCTTTTTACTCACTTCATGAAGCTAGTGTTTCTATCTCTTTTTATTTGATTATATTATACGTGTGTATGTATGCTATTATTTTCAGTTTATGCTGTATAGATTTGTATTTGTATATTTGTATGTATGTATGAGCATCTGATGCTAATTGTCCCAATGAAGCCAAGTGCATTATTGAATGGGGTGGACCTTTTTCATTTTAAGTGTGATTTTGGTGCTTTTGCTTTTTTGTAATTGACTTTTTAAAAAAGAAAAAGAAAAAGTGAGATCATGAATTTTGATGGGTTTTAAGTGGTGTCTATTAGTGTCATCATCTTATATAGTTGGCATCGCGGGCGATTTTTGAAGTATTATTACGCATTGATGCTTAGCCAATATACCTTTTTACCATATGTTTCATGATCTTGAATAGTTCTCTTAAACTTGTATAACTGACAATTGACAATGGGAATTGGTAGCATCATTGCTTGCGCATTTTGTTAGTGGTTTTGGCTTATCTTATTGTCTATGTTACTGGTTTTCTTTCAATTTGGTTCATTGATTGAATTTGGAAAGAGCTATTAGTTTACGGGTTTTCAATACATTTTAGGCATTAAATAAATTGATGACTATGCTTTTTTTACTTTTGCTAAGATGCTGAATGACAGAGGAATTGTTCAACTTAGAGCCTGTTTGGTTGGGCAACATGAATTATTTTGTTTTTAACTAAAACATTCAAAATCTGCAAGTTCATAGCTGAGTTGGTTCTAAATTTGTTTAGGTTTTGAGCATAATAAATTTTGAATCTTCCAATTCTCAATAATCTGCAAGTTCATATGTGAGTAATTCAAAATTTGTCCAATTTTTGAACAAAATAGATTTGTAAAATAAGTATTAGAAGTACTATATACACAATAAATAAATAAATAAATAAAAAGTTAAAATCAAATAAATTTTAGAGTAGTTTTGTAATAGTTTTGCTACTAGGAAAAAGTTTTATTGATATGAGAAATAAGTTGAAGATCACCTGTATAGGTAATCCAATGCCGACTCTAGTTTTAACATCAAGTATGATACTTTCTGATCTATATTGTTCGAGAATTGGCTCAACAGAACTTCGAATTAGCTCTGATGCTGCCTATGCCACCATGTGTCAAAAATGAAGTAATTTAAGTAAAAATAAAATAAAATGCTTATGTTTTTTTGAATTTATTTGCTTTGAATTGAGGGCAGGGCACTGGCAGGTGTGCTTTTATTTTGTTTGTTTGTTTTAATTGATAGTAGGATACTTGCAGGTGTACTGTCTTTTTTTTAGAGGGAGATGATGTCACAAGAGAAAGATTGAATTCATTTTTGGTTGAACTCAAATTTGTTGAATGACATGTAAATGTTTGGAAATTCTGAACTGATACTTTTGCTTCCCACCCACGACAAAAATAAACATAATTTTGAGAAAGTAGAGAAATGTACATGTTTAAAAAGAAAGAACTTTGGCGCAAATACATCACAAGAGAGTCTGGTTCAAGTAAATTCATTAATTTTTATAGACATTTGAAAATTATATACTGAGATTTTTGCCTTCATTTCAAGCCTACATTGAGGTGCTCGTTTCTAACCCTAGCACAACTCTAGTTTAGAAGTGCCTGCTCGAATTGAGTTGCGGTTGGAGTTATTATTGTAGTACTATGCCTTGTCCCATGGATGCACGAAAAACTGGAGCTTTTTTATTTTCAATTTTTTATTTTTTAGTTTTGGATAAGGAAGAAGGAAACTGAAATGCTGAAATCTTTCCTTTAATTTTATTTTTGATTTCCCAGAATTGACAACTTACCAGATGCCCTTATAGTTTTGGATAAACTATATTGACAAAGTAGTTTACGATTCTAGTTTTTAGAGGGCAGTTCTAGTTGCGCTTTGCAATTATGAATTCCTCATTTATTTGTCAACGTTCTTGTACACTCACAATGTTGAGTAGCAACAGCCAGAATCCTCGTTTGGGATCGTTCTTGTACACTCACAATTTTGTATTGCTTTTTTTTTTTTTTACAAGAATTGTATTTGAGGGATAGAACAACAAAAAAAGTTTGGTCTATGGAGTTGTGAATTTGTTTTGGTCTTTTTATTTTGTCTAAATATGTGACAATGGTGTTTTAGCTAATCGCCGAAACATCCCCAACTAGTCACACCCCCAAAACATCGCATTCAACTCTCTGTCTCCCACTCGCTGCTTCTCACCTTGCCGATCACCTATGCCTCTGCCGCTGTTAGAGTTGCCAATCGCCGCCATCGCCGCTAGTGGTGCCAATCGTCACTGCTACTGCCACTACCACCGCCACTGCTAGCCCTACCCTCCTCTTAGATCGCCTCACCGCTCGGCGATTTGCTAAGTTTCTTTTTCTTTCTCTTTGCTCTCTCTCTCTCTCTCTCTCTCTATGCTTTTTGCTATGCTATCTTCGCTTTTGGCTCTCTCCCTTTGGTTTGGGATCTCTATCTCATCTTGTTTCTGGTAAGTTTTTTTTTTTACTGACTTGATTCTATTATTATGAAGTTGTGAGAGGTTGAAAATTTCTTATATTTGATGAGCATTTGTGAAACAAATATAAATGTACTGATTTGACTTAAAATATTTGTAAGCTTTTTGGTTAAAATATAAATGTAGGTTGTTTGGTTAAAATTTTAATGTAGGGTGCTTGGTTAAAAGATTTATATATATATATATATTTGTAAACAATATGAAATACAAAAAAAAAGAAAAAAAAGAAAAAAAAAGAAAAAAGTATTGATTTAGCTGAAAATATGAATGTAGGGTGTTTGGTTATATTTGATGAGCATTCGTTTTTTTGTGTGTGTGTGTGTGTGTGTGTGTGTTGGGTTGTGGATTTGAATAGGCTACATTCTTTGATTGTTAATTGAAATTTTGAATGGTTTGCTTTTGTTTCTGTTTTTTTGTTTTCAAATTATTACCTCTTCTACAATTTGTTGCTGATTTACTTGTGTATATGTGTATGTGTGTGTGTCTGGAAAACTTTTATTTATGATGGACATCACTCTTTAGCAAGTTTGGCCCCTCTCTCTCTCTCTCTATATGTATGTGTGTATTTTTTCTTAGTTTGATCATTGTTAACAAGTTTTACACTTGGCTTATCATTTTTGTATTTGACTAATTTCACCGAAAAAAGTTAGATTACAACCATGAGAACACATTCAAGTCAAAGAGAAACCATTTTGTTCCTCCCCTGTTTCTTTGATCTCTATTAGTATGAATGAACCACTTTGATTATTTTCTTTTCTTTCATTTCCTTTGTTTTGATTGGTAGATTTCTATAAATCAATTTCTAATATTTCATTTCCTCTTGCTGCAAGTCATGGGTCTTTGTTGCAAGTGGTGTCTTGATATGACTGGATGGCAAGTGGTGTCTTGATATGAATTGCATCAAATGGACAACAAACATTAGTGGCATAGTAGATTGTCCACAAATGTTGAGCTCAAAACTTGTATTCTTAGTAGTGAACAAACAATATTGAATTTTAGATGTTAAGTTGAGTGAGTTTGTGGCTTGGGTTCAATTTGAGGGAGTATTTGAATTCAATAGAGTTAATAATAAATTGTGATTAGTTTGGTTTGGGTTAGATTTTTGCATCTTTTTGTAAGTTGAATAAATGATATTAAATAAAAGCTAAAAATACTTCTGTTCATTTTGAAGATAATTTATTTATTTTCAACTTAATGGGTTTATTATTCTGTAATGAGTAGTAAGTAAAACTGCACTAAACAGTTGAAACATAGATAAGCTTTTTGAAGTCTTGAAACACAGATAAGCTTTTTGAAGTCTTGGTATCCAGCTTCAAAATCTGTCCTAAAGGGAAACAACATTTACTACGTATAGAAGTGTAGACTAAGATAATAATTTGCTCATTTTAGTAAGCAGCCATACTCCTCTGCATAGTCAGGGCTTTGTAGAATTTTGAGATGTATGTTTCTGTCAATAATGCGCTCATCATTGCATATTATCTCCAAAAAAAATCTACATGGCAAAGCAAATAGTGTGCATAAGACATTAATGAGTTTAAGCTGAGATCGACAACATATCAATAAAATTTCCAACTATGCTAATTTAGCCACAAACAACGCTCTTGCAGAAACAGTGGTGTGGTTAATACTAGCAACTCCTGGATTTTTTTTTACGAAAAATATAAATTAAAAAAATGTTAGTAAAGAGAGCTTATGCCATGATTCAAGTAAATAAAAGAAGAAATAAAAGAAAATGAATAAAAACTTCTGTAAATAAACAAAAACAGTAATGTCAATAAGGCAACAACACTACCAAAATTCCATAACTTTTCTCTTCCATATCTTCCACTATCAGTTCAGTTTTTACCCAGGACAACAACCATGTGGGTCCCCATGCACCACCACAGTGCAAAAACCCAATTCTTTCTCTCTCGCCCTAAACAAAGTCACTGAATCTAGTAAATGTAGAACACCGTGAACCAATGCATTTTTTCTAAACAAGTTTGTTATTGAATAATTAATTTTTAAATACTTATGAAAGATTCATTTATTAAAGAAGGGTTTAAAAATTACGTTACTGTTACTTCTAGCCCTCAACCAACTCTTATTTCTTGAGGATAATAAATGTAGCCAAGAAGCAGCATCACCAAAAACAGTGATAGCAAAAGGAGAAATGGGTCGAGGTTTAAAACACTCACATTGCAAAGAGTTAAAGATCATTTGGGTTCGGCGACTGTGGTCACCAATCGGCTGCCAGCGGTGGTGCCAGTGACCCATGATTAATGGCATGAGTCTTAACATTTGAATTAAAAATTTAATCAAAATTAAATATTGAAATTATAGATTAAACATTCGCCATCAGTGGAATAATATGTTACATCGCAGGCGACAACAGTCCATATAATCACCCAAAATGGTGAATAGTTTCAAAACACCAATTAATGAAAAAATATAAATGATGGGAATCATAACTTTGCAATCCCAAGAAGATCCACCACATAATCATCCTATGCTAAAAAAGCACTTCATATGAAGAAAAGTAGACACCGTAAGAAGCTGCTCCAGTAACACGATATTGTACTATTTCGATCAGCTAGTAGAGCTACCTACGAAGAAAAGAAATTATGAGCAATATGTTAAATTACACAAATAGAAATCTTGTTCAATATAATATGACCAAGAGACAAACAAAAGTTTGACAGCACATACAGAACTTTACAGATATAACAGCCACCAATGCTTGATGGTCATGAGTGCATTAAGATGGATTGAAGATTCAATTAGAGAGAGCAAGAGAAGAACACAAAAATAAATCTCACTCTTCAGGTAACGAAAACACTCTTCAGCTTCAGATGCAGAAAGAACACCAGGAAAACACAAAATGAAAATGGTAAGAAAATAGAAATTAATGAAAGAGAGCAAGAGAAGAAAACAAAAACAAATCTTAGAAAAGTAACAGAATAGTATTCAGCTGCAGAAAGAAAACCAACGATATTCGAAAGCGAACCCTGTCATTGAAAGAACAGAAAGTCCAATGACTTGAAGAACACCAAAATTGATGAAAGAGAGCAAGAGAAGAACACGAAAGCAAACCTCAGAAGTAATGTAGCAAGCTTCAGTTCGAGAAAAAACCAGCAAAAGGAAAAACCAGAGGAGTGACCAAGAAGAAGAAGAAACAACTCCAGTCAACTCAATAATGTATCCTTTAGATACAAAAAAGAAACACAACAGTGTGGTGTGCATGTGCTTTGAGCTGGAGAAAAACAGATATTGCAACTCTCTTGCAGAAACAGTGGTGTGGTTAATATTAACGACTCCTGGATTTTTTTACCAGAAATATAAATTAAAAAAATGTTAGTAAAGAGAGCTTATCTCATAATTCAAGTAAATAAAAGAAATCAAATAGAAACTTTTGTACATAAACAAAAACAGTAATGTCAATAAGGCAACAAAACTACCAAAATTCCATAACTTTTCTCTTCCATTTCTTCTACTATCACTTCAGTTTTTACCTAGGACAACAACCATGTGGGTCCCCACGCACCACCACAGTGCAAAAACCCAATTCTTTCTCTCTCGCCCTAAACAAAGTCACTGAATCTAGTAAATGTAGAACACCGTGAACCAATGCATTTTTTCTAAACAAGTTTGTTATTGAATAATTAATTTTTAAATACTTATGAAAGATTCATTTATTAAAGAAGAGTTGAAAAATTATGTTACGTACTATTACTTCTAGCCCTCAACCAACTCTTATTTCTTGAGGACAATAAATGTAGCCAAGAAGCAGCATCACCAAAAACAGTGATAGCAAAAGGAGAAATGGGTCGAGGTTCAAAACACTCACATTGCAAAGAGTTAAAGATCATTTGGGTTTGGCAACTGTGGTCACCAATCGGCTGCCAGCGGTGGTGCCAGTGACCCATGATTAATGGCGGGGTGTCTACAATTTGAATTAAAAATTTAATCAAAATTAAATATTGAAATTATAGATTAAACATTCGCCATCAGTGGAATAATATGTTACATCGCAGGCGATAACAGTCCATATAATCACCCAAAATGGTGAATAGTTTCAAAACACCAATTAATGAAAAAATATAAATGATGGGAATCGTAACTTTGCAATCCCAGGAAGATCCACTACATAATCATCCTATGCTAAAAAAGCACTTCATATGAAGAAAAGTAGACACCGTAAGAAGCTGCTCCAGTAACACGATATTGTACTATTTCGATCAACTAGTAGAGCTACCTACGAAGAAAAGAAATTATGAGCAATATGTTAAATTACACAAATAGAAATCTTGTTCAATATAATATGACCAAGGGACAAACAAAAGTTTGAAAGCACATACAGAACTTTACAGATATAACAGCCACCAATGCTTTATGGTCATGAGTGCATTAAGATGGATTGAAGATTCAAAGCCCTGCATTTTTTAGTGTATGCAGTTGGTCATGGTTCTTTCTTAACTTTTTTTTTCTTCCATAGCCTGTGGGAACATCTCTTTGGTAAAGGCACCCTCAAACATAAAAAGAAACCAGTATGCTTTAAATATATTCTAAAGCACAAATTTAGAAAAAAATAAGTTTGTATCATCCCAACATAAGTTTGATTTAAGTTGCACGGTAGTTAGTGTAGATCAAACCCAAGAAGCTAGAATAAATATCATAGTCAAAAAGAACAATCAGGATGGTCAGCTATAAAAGTAAGAAAGAAAAATACATGAAAGATAGAGCTCACATTTTGCACAGTAAGCACTCAGTTTGTTTGGAACAACATCAATGAGCATTTGACTTACAAACAGAATCGTAGGACTCCCCTTGCCTATCTCCTAAGTGATTCAAAGCACAAAAAATTAAGACCTGCTGAAGATAGGAAATATAATAATCAAAGAACAGAATTATAACCAAGATAGCTCACCTTCCAAAGATAACGTTGATGCCAGCTATTCTTGCGTCCACAAGTGTATCAGTAGTCCCAGTTATATTGTATCATAGTTGTCAATTCAACAATCAAAATCCTAATAGTGGAATTGTGAATCAAATCAAATCAAGAATCATGAGATTCGGTATAAACTATAAAAAATGATGATAGATAATTGCATATAAGACCCAACAAAAAAAAAAACAGAGAGAGATTTTGGTACATGTTACAGTCACAAAACCATCCCCAGCCAAGTTATAGTAAAAAAAATCAAGAACCAGCCATAGTTAAAAGATCAAGTCATTCGATACTCATATTCAAGATCCAGCCAATCTACAGAAAAATAAATTCAAAAGAAAAACATGTAACAAATAAAATGAAATGAAACAAAACCCAAAGCAAAACCAAAAGACGAGCTGAGTTGTCATGTAAAATAAAAGAAAACGAAGTAGTAGAAAAAGGTTAGAAAACAAAATGGGAAATAATCGCAGGAGTAAGAGAAGAAAATGCAAACAAACCTTTCAGTTTTAGATGCAAAAGAACACCAGGAAAACACAAAACGAACATGGTAAGAAAATAGAAATTAATTAGAGAGAGCAAGAGAAGAACACAAAAATAAATCTCACTCTTCAGCTTCAGATGTAGAAAGAACACCAGGAAAACACAAAATGAACATGGTAAGAAAATAGAGAAGAAAACGTAAACAAACCTCAGAAAGTAACGAAACCACTCTTCAGTTTCAGATGCAAAAAGAACACCAGGAAAACACAAAACGAACATGGTAGGAAAATAGAAATTAATTGGAGAAAGCAAGAGAAGAACACAAAAATAAATCTCACTCTTCAGGTAACGAAAACACTCTTCAGCTTCAGATGCAGAAAGAACACCAGGAAAACACAAAATGAAAATGGTAAGAAAATAGAAATTAATGAAAGAGAGCAAGAGAAGAAAACAAAAACAAATCTTAGAAAAGTAACAGAATAGTATTCAGCTGCAGAAAGAAAACCAACGATATTCGAAAGCGAACCCTGTCATTGAAAGAACAGAAAGTCCAATGACTTGAAGAACACCAAAATTGATGAAAGAGAGCAAGAGAAGAACACGAAAGCAAACCTCAGAAGTAATGTAGCAAGCTTCAGTTCGAGAAAAAACCAGCAAAAGGAAAAACCAGAGGAGTGACCAAGAAGAAGAAGAAACAACTCCAGTTAACTCAATAATGTATCCTTTAGATACAAAAAAGAAACACAACAGTGTGGTGTGCATGTGCTTTGAGCTGGAGAAAAACAGATATTGCAACTCTCTTGTAGAAACAGTGGTGTGGTTAATATTAGCAACTCCTGGATTTTTTACCAGAAATATAAATTAAAAAAATGTTAGTAAAGAGAGCTTATCTCATAATTCAAGTAAATAAAAGAAATCAAATAAAAACTTTTGTACATAAACAAAAACAGTAATGTCAATAAGGCAACAAAACTACCAAAATTCCATAACTTTTCTCTTCCATTTCTTCTACTATCACTTCAGTTTTTACCTAGGACAACAACCATGTGGGTCCCCACGCACCACCACAGTGCAAAAACCCAATTCTTTCTCTCTCGCCCTAAACAAAGTCACTGAATCTAGTAAATGTAGAACACCATGAACCAATGCATTTTTTCTAAACAAGTTTGTTATTGAATAATTAATTTCTAAAAACTTATGAAAGATTCATTTATTAAAGAAGGGTTGAAAAATTATGTCACTGTTACTTCTAGCCCTTAATCGACTCTTATTTCTTGAGGACATTAAATGTAGCCAAGAAGCAACATCACCAAAAATAGTGATAGCAAAAAGGAGAAATGGTTTGAGATTCGAAACACTGACATTGCAAAGAGTTGAAGATCATTTGGGTTCGGCAACTGTGGTCGCCAATCGGCTGCCAGCGGTGGTGCCAGTGACCCATGATTAATGGCATGAGTCTTAACATTTGAATTAAAAATTTAATCAAAATTAAATATTGAAATTATAGATTAAACATTTACCATCAGTGGAATAATATGTTACATCGCAGGCGACAACAGTCCATATAATCACCCAAAATGGTGAATAGTTTCAAAACACCAATTAATGAAAAAATATAAATGATGGGAATTGTAACTTTGCAATCCCAGGAAGATACACCACATAATCATCCTATGCTAAAAAAGCACTTCATATGAAGAAAAGTAGACACAGAAAGAAGTTGCTCTAGTTACACGATATTGTACTATTTTGATCAGCTAGTAGAGCTACCTACGAAGAAAAGAAATTATGAGCAATATGTTAAATTACACAAATAGAAATCTTGTTCAATATAATATGACCAAGAGATAAACAAAAGTTTGACAGCACATACAGAACTTTACAGATATAACAGCCACCAATGCTTGATGGTAATGAGTGCATTAAGATGGATTGAAGATTCAATGCCCTGCATTTTTTAGTGTATGCAGTTGGTCATGGTTCTTTGCTAACTTTTTGGTTAGTGTAGATCAAACCAAAGAAGCTAGAATAAATATCATAGTAAAAAAGAACAATTAGAATGATCAGCTATAAAAGTAATCACCCAAACAGGAGATGAAAGTTGCAACTAAAGGTTTCAAAACACTAATTACTAAAAAAATATAACACCACATAATCATCCAATCACTAATCATCCAAATCCAAGGTCAGGTAACCAAAGGTTTGAAAATCCTGATCAAAATTCTATTCATTGTCTGCATCATCCATAATTTATTGCATAAACTAATTTCAATTATCAAGTCTACACAGCAAGACAAACGTAAAAGCATCAATTAACCAACAACAATTTTCAAAGCAGCCAAAATTAGTAACTAAATATGTAAAACATTAGGATAATGTAACCAAAATTTTCATACAAATAAACCTAAAATCCAAAAATTTAAACACCGAAAAAGAAAAAGAAAAAAAAAACCCGAATAGTTCAAAAGAAATAGATACACTATGTGATATGCACCTAACAATTTTGTGGAGTATGAGACGCGTAAAAAGTTTGAATCCAAAATTTGAGATAAATATCCACATTTTTTAAGGAAAAATATAAATAAATAAAATTTAAAAATGAATGAAAATAGATAAAAAGAAAAAAATTTTAACCATAATACCAATTCCTCATAAAATCCATCTTGAACCCAAGGCAACAGTGCAAAACTTCTAGAAGGATTAACAAATGTGCATGCCATAGTTGGTTGGATTTAAGTAAGTTATGATACCTCTTTTATGATCTTGCGCTAAGAATGTACATCATATGAAGAAAACTTGACACAGTAAAAAAGCTGCTCCAGTGACACGATATCCTACAATTTCGATCTGCTAGTAGAGCTACCCACGAAGAAAAGGCATTATGAGCAATAAGTTGAATTGCACAAATAGAAATCTTGTTCAATATAATATGACCACGAGACAAACAAAAGTTTGACAGCACATACAGAACTTTCCAGATATAACACCCAGCAATGCTTGAAGGTCAGGGGTGCATTAAGATGGATTGAAATTCAATGCCCTGCATTTTGTAGTGTATGCAGTTGGTCATGGATCTTTGCTAACTTTTTTTTTTTTCTACGATATCCTGTGGGAACTTCTCTTTGGTAAAGGCACCGTCAAACATAAAGAGAAACCAATATGCGTCAAATATATTCCAAAGCACAAATTAGAAAAACATAAGCTTGTATCATCCCAATATGTTTTACTCAAGAAACTCAAAATGAGGGAGAGAACATAAATTTTCAAAGCATGATTTTTCCTCAATATAGAAAAAAAATATATATACAAATACAAATACACAAAAAAAATCCTAAAATTTACAATAGTTACAATACGGAAATTCATTAAATATATATATATATATATATCATACATTTTCGTATTTTTTTTTTCATATTCAATGATTTTTTTTTTTTTATAAAAAAAAGGGCACAAATTTGTAAAATAGTCCTGTATAAATTTTGGTGGACATGGAAGTCCTATTCGTATAGGAATTGTATCCGTTAGATCCTCTTTAGTCAAATTGGTGGTTTTTGTAGACTATTATGCTCCTGCATTCCTCAATAAGGGTTAGGGCTTTGAAATCAAAGCACCAATGGCACATTTAGATGAAGCTTAGAGTTAGCAACAAACCTGAACTACGGAAAAGAGTTCTCGGAAAAATTCAATTCGACTGGAAGGGAAGGGAAAAGACGATGACTAGGTCTTTGCTCACAAACCTATGGTGGAGACGTCCAGAGAGTGAGAGCTTGTGAAGAAGATGTCGATATGGCTGAAGCCCGGATCGCCGACGAGGCTGGTGGTCCTCGGAAGCTTCGGCAATGGCGGAAGAGAAGAGGGAAGAGAAGAGGGAGGAGAAGAGCCAACAAGAGGGCCAAACACAACTAATTCAATTTTGTTCCCCTTGTAACCAGCTAGACCGGTTGCCTTAAATTATTTAAATAATTTAATTATGACCTAGTTATGAGGTAATATAGTATAAATAAATAACTAAATATAATTAAGTTATAAATTAATATGATAGTAGTTATGACTAATATGGTGTTGGTTATGACATAAAACCATACAAGTTCATAACTAAATGTGTGGTACATCTAAATGTACCATAGCATCACCCGACTTTGCCATCCAGTCCTTTGAGTTGTTCAAATCAGGAAAAACCCATATACCCAATTTTGACAATAAGAAAAAGTGACTCATGTTCATGTGAGAATTAACCATTTAAGTACGCAATAAGAAATATTATTAAAAAAGTATAAGCATTTGTATAGAAATAATTATGACTGAAACACATCAAGTTCAAGCAAAACAAACTTTCTCAGTATTATTCAAAGTCTCAATCAATTAGATGCGTTGGGGCTTCATAAATATTGTGCACGACATGTTTAGCAGACATAGTGGGTGTTTGGGAAGGAATACGGATCTTCGGCCGCACAAGCCTGTTGCCATCTCTGTGGCACCCCCCAAAACGACGTCGTTTTGGGGGCAATTTCATTTTTTTTTTTTTAAAAAAGCAGAACAGAACCAGAGGAAAAACCAGAGGAGGAGGAGAAGAAAGAAGGAAGAAAGGAGAAGAAGAGGAGAGAAGAAGGAAGGCAGATCCAAGCAAACCACCGTCGACTAGGCTGATGTCATAGAAGTCTTGTTCGACGCCAAGGGTGATTTCAGCTAGGATGGCGGGAGGGGAGCCGCCGAGGCCGTTGCAGAAGAGGGCGCCGCCGCAATCGCCTGTGGCGCAGTGGCCTCGGAAGGTGGCGAGGTCGAAGGAGCAGCCGTGGCGGCCCCAGATCCGGCCGGACCAAGCGAACAGAGTCTCCGAACAGAGATTCCTCCATCTTGGGGTGGACCATGGAGAGGAATTTCTTGGAGCAAAACTTGCTGAAATGGCAAGTGGGTAAGATTCCGAGGAGC